AGCCATTTTTAACATGAGCCTGAGGAAAGGTAAACCTTAAAGACAGGATCTTGATTTTAATAATAGTAAAAATGATAATCCTTAGTAACGATCTTTATAATAATCAGTGCGTTTGATATCGCACCTTATCATATCATTGAGACGTCTCAAAGCACTGTAAAATGGATTGACTGCATTTTGTGGGCAAAAAGCAGCAGCCAGTTGCAAGCAGCAGTGTCCCACAAACAACCATGAAGTGAGTGACCAATTTTATTTGGGGGATTGTTGGGCAGGACATTTTAATATCCCAACTCAAAATGATGGCGCTAAGACAAAAGCAGCACAGATTAGTTTTACCCTATTGATGATGTGTATTTGCAATAGTAATTGTAGCTTGTGTCCTGAAGTGGGGCTTGAACACGCAGCCTTCTGACTCAGATGCAACAGAGCTACCGACAGAGCCAGGCTGACACAGTTCATCTAATATAGTTAATAATAATCGTTGCATTGGATACAGTGCCTAAACACACCTCAAAACCTTCACTGAGTATACTGGAAAGTGGGGTGACTTTATTTTGTGGGAGAATGAGGAGGCCAATTTCTCACAAACAGCTGAGAAGTTACCTGCATAGTTTTACAAGGAAAGGTGAGAGCTGAAGTTTTAACTCTCCTGGTTGCGGACGGACTGGCGTGCTGGGAATGAAGGAATTCAGAGGGAAGAACGCTTACACAGAGTTGTTAGGATGCAAAACACGTTCAGCTACTATATCCGAATCAATTGCAACATTACAAAGGGAATTGGATAAACATTTGACGGATGAAGACATAAAAGGAGATGGAGAAACAGTGGATAGCTCCAATGGGGGAAGCCAGCACAGCCCAGGGACAACAGGCTGAATTGTTTCCTTCTGTGCTGCAATTTCTCATTCTCTGAAAGGCATTATTGTTATAATAATAATTTTTGCATTTTGATATATTGCCTTATCACATCATCAAAACACCACCTCAAAGGGCTTCATACAATTTCAAGTGCAGCAAGTCATGATTTTAAAGTGTAGCGTATTTCGTAGGCAAATGTGGCTGGCAATTTGCACCCAGCAATGTTCCACAAACAGCCATGAAGTGAATGACTAAGTTTATTTCAGGGATTTGTTGATCAGAACACCGAGAGAAACTCCTTTCTCTTCTTAGATGTAGCCATGGGATCATTAATGTCCACCTGAACAGGCAGACAGGTCTTCAGTTTAACGTCTCATCTGAAAGATGGCACCTCTGACATTGCAGCCCCCTGGAGAGTCAGTCTAGACAATAACTTGAAGGGCTAGAACCAACAACCCTTTGACTCAGGTGAGAGAACTACTGACTTAGTCAGGCTGACAGCATTCACAGAATGGAGAGGCTTGAATACACAGCAAACTAAAGGAGTTGCAGGGAATTAGTCAAATACTCCTCATTGAGTCAAAGTCCTGCCCAGTCTTTAATCCGATCAGAAATCTCACAACTTTATTGAAACTTGAAGATGCAGCAGAAAAGACGGGAGCCAAGTCGCCTGATATTAGGGGTGAGTCTTATTTTTTGGTAAGCCGGGTGTCTGTCGCACGCGGAAACCCGTCACCATGCTTAGGAATATCCAAACCAGATAAGAGTTCCACATGTCTCACCTACACATGGCAATTCCTGTGTATTGGGAAGGAATGCACACTCTCCTTGGAGAGACGCATCCTCCTTTCCTCTGGCCTCCGCCACCATGAATTGGCAAGTGGGGATCAGACAGAAATGCTACCGTTTCTTGTCATGCACGAACATGGGTGGGAGATATTCAACAACAACTTGCATTTATATAGCGGTCTTCACACGGGGTAGGATTTTGGAGCGCTTATTCACATTGGCATCTCATGTGCTTGAGAAACTCAAGTTGCTGCCGCCAGTCTCTGGCAGTCTAGGGATCGTGCAGAAATAGTAGTGGAAGCTCCAACTATGACAGAGACTCATCCTTTGCAACTCCGAAACCACAAAGTGAACGGGAGAGTGGTGGGGGTGGGGGGGAAAGAGGAAGGGGGCATTTAAAGGAGTGGTTAGCACACCATAAGGTCTTGGGGTTTGTGCACGTTTTGTTGATTTCAACTTTGCAGCCATCTGGCCAATGCCACAAGCTTTCTTTGTGTCATCTCCGCAGCCCTGCCTCCAATTTACTGACCCCCCACCCCCTCTCCCTCCTCCCCTTTAGAGTCACGATATGCTTGATTAAGCAGAATTGAGCAGCAGGAGCGAGCACTTGGCTGCTAATCACAGGCAGGAAGGCCCCTGGGCACTCAACACACGCTTCAGCTCTCAGCAGGAGGCAGCGTGAAGCGGGGCAGTTACCTCCCGATGCATTAGCACACACAAACAGAGACCACAAGCGCTGAGAATAAAAGCTCAATTACCCAAGACATTTGCAATGAGCTGCCTGAAGAATTGACACTATAAGCGCGATCGAAGCCATCAAGCCTAATAAACAATTCATACACCGTGCTCTCAATCCCCCTGGTCCATGTAGACTGTTAATACTCTTACAAGCTGTGGTCTAAACTGCTACTGTGAACTCTGAGACTGAATGAATGGCCTCCCTCCACGCTGTGTGACTGCACAATCACATCTTCCCTAACGTTTCAAGATTTGCCAGCAGTAAGCCCGGATTCATACTGCAGTCACTTGGCACAGACCCTAGTTGGCTCAATGGGTAGCACTCGCGCCTCTGAGTTGGAAGGTTGTATGTTTGACCGTCACATCTGGACTTTGAGCTCATACAGCCAAGGCTGATGCTCCAGTGCAGTGCTGGGTTTTAATACGATCCCACTAACCATGCTATGAGACCACTGTGGATTCCCATTACATAGCGATTGGAGCACTTGCCTCGCAAGCAAGAGGACACAGGTCCGATTCCTGGGCAGGGCCTACATACACAGCCTCTACTTATTGACTCACCAACAAGTGCAAACATGCCATTAATGTCCATCTTACCAAATCCTTTCAGAACCTTAAAGCCTTTGATCAGGTGGTCTTGGGCAGATGGCTGGATTCCTATCTTTCAGGAGTAGAATTTCCCCAAACCACTTACTGGCAGTAGAATTTGCTCAGTGTGAAATTAAACTCAGGATCTGAGTCACCTCTCTGCACAAGAACTTCAGCTTCTCAGATCTATAAGAGCCCTCACAATACAATTTACATTTATACAGCACCGTTCATATTGGGAGAATATCTCCAATCCCTTTATGCAGTTGGTTGGGCACCTGAACTGCCGGGGGTGAAGAGAACTGAATGTCTAATTTTATCTGGAAGATTGTTGTCCAGGATACCAGGAGAAATTCCCTTCTTTTCTAGTGCCATGGGATCATTAATGTCCAACTGGACAGGCACAAAAAAGGCCTCAATTTAACACCTCATCTGAAGGATGACACTTGACAATGCAGCATACCTCGAGCACTGCATTGGAGTTTCAGCACTGACAAAAACTGGATTCCAAGTCCTGAGATGGGGTTTGAACCCAAAACCTTCTGACTCAGAGGCAAGCATGCTACCAATAAAACCAGGCTGACAGATAATGGGTTGAATGGCCAGCTTCTGTGCTGAGAACGTCTGAGTCTCTTAAATAATGCTCCAACGCAACTTACCGGATTGTCAAGAGAAACAGTGAGCTGCACACTGCCAAAGCATGTAAAATAATTCCAATGCTTTGCAGTGCCAATAACCCACAACACCAAAAGAGATATTCAGACAGTAACACATTATTCTGCCTGAAAGGTCTGTGCCACAGGTACTTCACATCTCTGGGGATGTGTGGTCCAAACAGACAGGCACCGATAGTACTGATTTACAAGTGGAAATCTGTGTAGCCTCCTGTGGGATGTCCTCCCGATATCAAAGGCGCTATACAAATGTCATTTTGTTGTTGTTGTACCTGATGCTATTTTTTATCCACTCAAGAGTGTTGGTGGATGGTTACAAATTGGTTTATGCACAGCGAAGCCAACAGATCATTTTTGTAAATAATACAACAAAACAGAGACAACAGAGACTCCAACATTCAACCTAAACCAGATAATTCCAAACATCGAGTAAGGGAGCTAGGTTTACAGACAACAACAAATTACATTTGATTAGCAACTTTCACGTCGGGAGAACGCCCCAAAGCGCCGCACAGTCAAGCATTTGCACTCGAACTGGGATTTGGGTTCAGGAGGGTGGAGGGCAGGGAGGGTTGGGGTAGGAGGGTGAACAAAGGTGCAGTCGATGAGGAAGGTCTTGAGACATGCCTTGAAGGTGGCAAGGGAGGGGACGATGCAAAGGGACTGTGGGATAGAGTTCCAGAGGGTGTGGATAGGTCACAGAAGTAGGGAAGAGCGAAGCTGTGGAAGGCTTTGAAAGCAAGGACGACAACAACACAAATTGCATTTATACAGCGCCTTTCACATCAGGAGGACAGCGATTCAATTTTCCTTCTGGTAGAAGAATGCAAAATAAAGAGCCAAGGTCAGAAACTATTTCTTCACACAGGGGTTGTGAAAACAGGCAGAAAACCATGGAGAATCAAATCTGATGTTTAATGACAGAGAAATGTTTGGAAAGGGGAAAAATACAGGAATAGGGATTAAAAGATCTGACACAATCTGATACAAGGTCTTGAGTGCAAAAAGTGGACAAAACATCTACATTTATGCAACACCTTTCTTGTCAGAAGGATGTCTCAAAGCGCTTTACACTGCTGACTAAGCATCTGAGACGGGGGAGGGGAGATGAATAGTGTAGTTCCGGGGAGTGGGGTAAGATTACTGAAAGTGTGGTCAGAGATAAGCCTTGAGGTGGGCTTTGAATGTAGGGAGGAAGGGGCTGAATCAGAGGGATTCAAGGATACAGTTGCAAACAGTGGGGACCGATAGTTCACCCAGCGATAGTGGGGCGGAGAGGACAGGGGACATGAGACAAGCTCCCCCACAACCCGACATAACAAGCAAAGACATCAATCAGCAGGGTCTCCTTACCTTGATGCTTCCTCCAATGAGATCTGGAGGTTCCTCTTCCGTCTCTAAGGCAACGTTGATGGCGGCAAAGGGGCGACTGGCCATCTGTTGCATCTCTCGTAAAAGTTGCTGAAAGACACAGAGAGGGCCAAGGTGAGGGAAGGCCTGTAACAGTTTCTTTCAGATGAATTGTGCTGGTCTGCTGATAACATGACAGGGTTATTTACTGAGGTAGACACATTAGTGGCTAACATGCAAGCCTCGTTTTAAAAAATAAACCATCTCTGACCATGTTTGTGGTCAACACACTCATCATTCTCTTCATGACTTTCATGCGTTTAACCTGCTTGAGTGTGAAGATAGATTAAATGGGATTGAGAAAGTAAACCCAGAAAAACGCTTTAGGATGGACCAAGACAAAGAGGACAAAGGGCAATTTCAGGGCAAACGCCAGGAAAGTTTTATTTATTCAGAGGGTAATGAACGAACAGGTTCCTTAATCACATTTAAAAAGCAGCTTGATGCTGTGATGGGAGGATGATAGGGCAGGTGTTCTGGAAGGATGAGATGGAATGGGCTGAAGGGTCTTCTTCATCAATACCAATTCTGGGCTGTAGGTGCTGGCTGCTTCTGTTCAATTAAAACACCATTTTCAATAAAAAATGGAGTAAAATGTGCAGTGTTCCATGTGATAATCACCATCACCAAATACCGCACGGTCACAATTTAGTCCCAATGCTTGGAAATCACTTGGGGAAAAAAAAACACAATAATAAATTGGTCACTTCATGACTGTTTGAGGGACACTGCTGTGCACAATTGGCTGCCGCGTTTTGCCCACAAATATACAGTCAATTCACTTTACAGTATATTCTGTGAAGCGCTTTGAGACGTCTCAAAGACATGAAAAGCGCTATATCAAATGCAAGGATTATTATTTTATCATCACCAGTTTCAGTCATAGCCCAGCCTCTCACTTGTGTGTTGCTCTGTCCTGGTTTACATAAAACACACACAAATAATATTACATTATTACCTCTGACAGTGTAGCACACCCAGCACTGCAGTGACTGTGTGAGTTCCAAGCAAGGTGAGGGCTTGAACCGACAACCGTCTGAAGAGGTGAGAGTGCTACCGACTGAGCCGGGCTGACCCACAACGGTCATGCTCATAGATTCCTCGTCAGAAGCTGTACCGATCACAGAGATCAGCTTTTTGAGTGAGGATAAAGCTGAGCTCATTCAGGATATGGTATAAAGAAGTTCTCAAACGCTACCTCCGTGCCTTAAAATCAAACTCGTAGCAGGCAGGGGAAAATCCAACAGTGGTGGGGTTTTTAATAAATTCAATATGTACTGCATAACACCAACGCAAAGCAGTAATCCAAAGCATGGGAATCAGGAATTACTGATGCCAGTACTACATAAGAAACGGACTAAAAATTTGTGTCATTAATCACACTTAAAACTCTGTTATTACAGAGGGAAATTCATCCATTTTACAAACACTCTGGGATAGTTTGGAACTTCAATATATCCCACATGGTGATAATAAATAATAACTCTGGCAATTGGTATTGATATCAGGACAGCTTCACAGGATATACAGGAGGTGAACGACCAATTTTATCTAGGAGGATTGTTGGTCAGGACACTAGGAGAAACTCTCTTTTCGTTTTGAGTACCTCCAATGACATTTTAGTCCACCTGTAACCAGGGCTCCCTCTGCCTCCTCGTCCTCCTTAACCTCTCTGCTGCTTTTGATGCCGTTGACCACTCTATCCTCATCCACCACCTCTTTTCTCACCTCAATCTTCATGGTTCTGTCCTTGACTTGATCAGATCCTACCTCTCACGCCATCTCCACTTCATCTCCACAAATGGTTTCTCTTCTAGCCCCCGCACTGTCTTGTGCAGCGTTCCTCAGGGCTCTGTCCTCGGTCCCCTCCTCTTCAATATCTATATGCTCCCTCTTGGTGACATCATCCGCAGACATGGGGTCAACTTCCACATGTTTGCGGATGACACCCAACTCTACCTCTCACCTCCACCCTTGACTCTAAGACCACTTCTGTCCTTACAGAGTGTCTGTCAGACATCGTCTGATAAGACTCGATGAAAGTTAACTTTCTCCAGCTGAACATCAACAAGATCAAGGCTCCGCTGATTGGCTCCCATCAGCGCCTCCACACCTCAGGCGCTGACACACTCCACCTCACTGAGCCAGTCCGGAACCTTGGCCTCTTGTTTGACTCTCAACTATCCTTACTACCCTACATCCGTGCCATGACCCGCTCTGCCTTCCCCCACCTCCGCAACATCGCCCGGCTCCACCACTGCCTCACACCGCAGGCCGCCGAAACCCTCATACATGCATTCGTAACATCGAGGCTTGACTACGCAAACTCCTTGCTTGTCGGCCTCCCCAATTCCTCCCTCCATAGGTTGCAGATCATCTGGAACCCATGTCCTCTCCTACACCAGGCTCCGTGACCCTATCAGCCTCATCCTCATCCGACTCCACTGGCTTCCCATCACTCAGAGGATACAGTTCAAGATCCTGGTCCTCACTTTCAAAGCCCTCCATGGCCTTACTCTCACCTGCCTCTGCGATCTTCTAACCCCTTACCATTCTGCTCGCTCCCTCCACTCAGCAGGCTCTGGCCTGTTTCACGTCCCTCGCCTCGCTCGCCCCATATTGGTGGGTGAGGCAGCGACCATTAGCCACTCTGCCCCCAACCAGCCTCCTTCAAGACCCATCTCAAGACCCTCCTCTTCAACCGTGCCCTCGGTTACCCCCTTCCCCCCCCCCCCGCCATCCACCCTCCCCAATCCCGACCCCCAGCTCGGGTCCGAAATACTGATTGTCCCGTGCCTTGGGATGTCATCCCGACATGAAAGGAGCTATACAAATGTAATTTTGTTGTTGTTGCCACAGGATCTTTAATATCCACCTGAACAGGCAAACGGGACCTCAGTTTAACATATCATCTGAACAATGACATTTCCAACAATGCTACACCACTCTACCCTCAGCACTGCAACGAGAGCCTAGACTCGGTGAGTTCAAAATCCTGATGTGGGGCTTCAACCCACAATCTTCTGACTCGGAGGTGAGAGTGCTACTAACTGAACCAGGCTGACACCGTATTGCTAGACTGCCGATCAGGAAGGTCTAGTGACAAGGAACTGTCCTGGGTCACCTCACCTCCATAGCTGAAATATCTGCTCAGATATAAAGAAAAGCATGGATAATTTGCTCTGAGAGAGCAAATAGTAGCTCAGTGTCACCATATTTTATCTTAACAGCTGGTTCTCTGACAATAAGCCCATCAGGGAGAAGCATTTCAGAGTGGCTTTATTAGGGAATAATTACACAAAAGCAGTGAGAAGCAATCTGCTTATCGCACACACTTTAGTGCGGGAAGCCTCCCTCCTATTTCCCTCCCCCAATAGAAAGAGCGAGTGCGGCCACATAGTCTGAGCACTCAGCTTACGAAGAGGGAAAGCACCACAAGGGGATCGTGTCTGAAAGGTCAGACGTCATGCTCAATAATTCAGCTGGAGCACCTATTACACAGAGGCAGGCGTGTCACTCCGTCTCTGCAGGTTACTTCCTGGCATTCGCAGCTCAAGCATGCCACACATGGCTGGTACGTGCCAAGGCTAATGAACATGTGAATGGGTGAAGAGAACAAGGAAGGCTTGCATTCACCTTCCCGCAGTGTCAGCCAGCACACAGCGCTGTGCAAGTCTGAGCAAAATGCCTCCAGGGCAGCCAGGTACTGAACCTCTTGCAGCGTATCAGCATACATGCGTGTACGTGATAAATTGGTACATTATAGTACATTCTGTTCCTGGAGATGTTCCAATTGGGTGTGTGCCATATGTGCTATGTGTGTGATCTTTCTGCAACTCAGGACATCCTCTCGACGTGACACGTGCTATACAAATGTAATTTGTTGTTGAAATTTGTTGCGTTTATATATGTGTGTGTGTTTGGGGAGGGAGGAGGGGAGAGTTAGCACTGCTAGGCAAACAGAGGCAGATAGAGTAAGGTCTTGCCTGCCTAGGAATCAAACCCAGGTTACGAGGTGAGTGCTATGACCACTATGTTACAGGCTAGGGTGGAGGTGAGGCAGAGGGATTGAGGCAGGGAGCATGTCAGCATCCACAGCTTTCTGAGCAGTGTATCACAACCCTTTGGGTGAAGAAGTGTCTTCAGATCCCCCTGAAATTAAAGCATGGGAGATGGCCCTTCAGCCCATCGAGCCTCAGCTGGTTCATGAGTGTTTATTACAGCTTGAGGAGCACTGATAACTGCCATATTTGCTATCTGATGGCTGGAAGGTCCCAGATTCAATAGTTGGCATTTAGTTTATTTTGGTCAAGAGAGGAGTAAGGAAAGAATACAAAATGTTACAGCACAGAAATCATCCTGTCAACCCATTAAGTCTAAGATGGTGTTTTCTTTTCCTCCACATGGTAACAGAACCAGAGGGGAGATTAGGAGAATTTGTTTATGCAACAAGTTATTTTGATCTAGAAAGCACTACTTAAAGGGTGGTGGAGCAGATTCAATAATAACTTTCAAAAGGGAATTGAATATATATCTGAAGAGAAAAAATGGCAAGGTTATCGAGCAATTGCGAGGGAGTGGGACAAGTTGCTAGCTCTTTCAAAGAGCTGGCCCAGGCACGATGAGCCAAATGGCCCCCTTCTGCGCTTTAAGATTGTATGATTCTATAATCCAATGCCACTATCCTGGTTGCTCCCCATACCCTCCATTACAGGTCATCCCATACTCTAACATGCCACTAGGTTTTGTTATAACCATGTATAATTTCCGAATCCCGGCACTGACGATCTGGCTATCTATGCATCCAGTCAGACATTCAGTCTGGGTCAGTTAGTAGCATTCTTGCCTCTAAGTTAGAAGGTTAAGGCTTCAAGCCTAACATTGGGGCTTTGAAACCTCACTCGAGGCTGACATTGCAATCCAGTGCTGTGGGTTCACTGCACTGTCGGAGATGCTATCCTTTGGATTCAACATTAAATCATCCTCTTATATGTGCCTGTTCAGGTGTAAGTTAAAGATACCACAGCACTTCATAGGATTTTACTGTCAAG